AAACATACGTTAATATATTATAAAAATGTATGATAATAAACGAATTAAAAAATTTGCCTGTCGGTTTCAGTATGTAAAAGCTTGTTGTCATGTGAAGTACTTGTAACATTTGCCACTCTTCCACATTACCAATCGGCTACAGAAAGGGATAATGCTAAATGGTAAGTCAGCCCGGCACGGAAGGAAGTTCCGAATAAAACTGGAGCAGGGGGTTTCTTCGCGACTTCTGCAGAGTTCCATAGAAGAGATAGTGCATAAATCAGCTCTGCTATCAAAGCTGTTCATCGTACTAATCCAAACCATCTTTGATCTCCTCTGTGCAATCGCAGAAGTCTAAAGACAGCGTTAGATCAATTTCTAACGACTGACCTCATCGGCACCTATCTGAGCTAGCATATGCTAGTATCTGCCGAAATCGGCAACGCGTTGATTTGATTCCGCGGTTGAACAGAAGAGGGTACACAAAGATCATCTGAATGGTACCACGAGAAGCATCACCACGACCGACTGAATAGTATTCACAATTAAAGAATCTGCTTTTCTGAATATAAGTTCATTAAATAAAAATGACTTCGTAGGCTATTTCTCTGTCGCCATAGTTATCGGTCGTACTTAAATCCTCGTCTAGCTGCGCGTAACTACACTACGAAGATGGTGGAAGAACCATAAACTGGGTTGCGCCACGGCCCCCTCACGTTTTTATAGCCGACCAAGCTCACAGTACCTGAAATAGACTACAATGGATCAAGTCAGAGGTACCCTACAGGAGGATCGTGGGTCGGGCTAGATAGCTGCAAGACTTTTTAGTTCGCAGAGACACGCGGCTACATTTCCTTCTAGAGGTAAAACATCGCACCGTCCACGGCGAGGCTTGCTGTTGCTTTCTCGCGCCGGGAATTGGCTGGGTACGCCGGTGTTAAGAAGGCGTTAAGGGCGGCTAGCCCGGGCAACCCCGGACTGTATCTGCAATGCAAGGCGCTAATAGCTAAGTTTAAAGTTCGTCGTAGTCTGGAGTCAAGTCCCCTACATGCCCCAACAAACTTATGGAGGGCAGATATCTGCGGCTTGTGACGTGACAACAAAAAGCGTCTGCGGATCCAACAACTACGAAAAGAGAAACGGTTTGTGACCAAAGGACAGACTTTGTACGATGCCGCGGGCTACGGAAAGCTTGCGGTAGCGATGAACCGACCTCGTTTTGTAACAAATTATGTGCGAGATCAAAACGGAAATGCGACCATTCTCTGAAGTAATCTTTAGCTATTCTTTCAGCGGCCGAAGTATATTCAACAAATTTTACCCAACTGTATTTCTTTGATTATTTGAAATATCCTAGTGTACATTTATACTCACTGAACTAGATATTAACTGAATTGAGACAAACATTTGGGGCAAGTGCTTTGTCTCGCCCAAGATTATATATTGGAACATTATAACTTCGACAGGAAATGGGAACAGACGGTTCTTTGCATCGATAACCATCAGGCGCGGTGTTTCAGTGAGGAGCAGTCGCGTCTATTTAACCAGGTGCTTGCTACTCCAAGACAATATCTTACCATGTTGTGTGGCAATCCTCAGCTTCAACAAGGTAAGAATTTCTATATGGGCTTGTAAATGTACGCATATCGGGACGAGCACTGACAAGCCTTCCGAAATACGTAAAAATGACGTTCCATAAGAACGAACTGCTTGGTACTACCAGTGCTCTATCGATTAAGAAAATGTATTAATTTCATTTTAGCTTCGAGCTATTTCATTATAGACACTCGTTAAAAGCACGCTTTCGAGTGCATATGTATTCTCTTAATTTCCATTATTTTACCTGTTATTTGTGTTGCTACTTTTTGCAGAGTATCTGAAATTTGCTCAATGTGACGCGAACATTACGAAAGACGAGGCGAAATGCGGCGGTGTTTTTCAAAGGGTGTTGCAGATTTCGCAGGAACAACCGGCGCCCCCGACGGTATAGCCTTCACAAGAAACACGTTTTGAACACTATTTCTCATTGAAAGAAAAAGAGAACGTGCCTACATTGTTGATTGGCCTCGACTGTATTTATAGTATTCACGCAACGATCTCTTAACCCAAACAGACCATAACGGAGACGTCGTGTATAATAATCAAATATATATAGGCGTCAAATATAATTAGACAATGGCGAAATAACTTGCAAGTGAGTACATTTCAGGACGGCGGTACAGACAGCGATAACCAGCGGCAACCTCAGCAACGACAACAGGAGAGCGTCGAACAAGTCCTAGCAAAAAACTGCTGGTAAATCAACTGTAGATGGCAGCACCTTAAATATTTCGAGGTTTCTTTCTCGTCCCTTTCTAACTTTGGCACTATCGGGAGGTGCATGTCACTCAAAGGGGAACCTGGAAGGCCGACATAAATTAGCTAATCATTGGAGTATCACTTAAGGTTAAAAGTAATACGAATGGGCATTTTGCCAGTACTTGTCTAGTCCGGTTTATTTGGATGACATTTATCCAGCCGATGCAAGCTTCTGGTCGGCAACGACCAGCGGTTACGTCTCGCGAAAAAACTACTATCAATAAATATAATTTTTATATTGCTGTGTTTCTACATGTTTATATGATTTAATTTTTTTCAACGTGTCCTTGTTCGCAGTACGTTCGACGAGTACCTGCGATGCAAGAAACGCTTTCTGACTCGCGACTGTGGAGACAACGCAAGCCAGTTCTTCGAGACGCATATCAAGCGAATCAGCGCTCCCTTTGCCGAAGAGCAATGTGGTGCCTTCGTCCAACGATGTGACCATGTGTCTTCTGCAATGACCGCGCCTTACCCTGCGTTATTACTTGTTAATATATGCCTCATTATTGCTGTTAATAATTGCGCCTCTGACACAATAGCATTAGCTCTAAAACTTGCCTTACAGTGAACAAAAAAAAAAAATAGAAGTTTACAGCCAGCGATGCTCTCTTCGAATAAATAACCCTTTGAATGAATATTATCTGTATCTTAGCTAGAACGAGACGTAATGTGGAGCTAAGCCGGAACACAAACGAGGCTGTTCAATCAATTGGGCCTTATTGTTTTTCCTAACCGCTTAGGATCAGGCTGATCAGCACCAGTGGTCTGAATCAACGAAACAATTGATTTGCTAGGAATTTTTGAAGGAGCCTGATGCTAGTTTTGGTTATGAATAATGGTATTATTACCGTAGCGTGTCAAAGTAATGGCGACGATTTTGTTGGATTCTCTCTCTACTAGCTACTATTTAAGAAGATTTACGTACCTCTATTATAACTAAATGGTGACATAAGACAGCGACGCTATAATTTTAGGGAGTGAAAATGCGAGAAAAAGCAATTTAAAAATAAAATACCTGTTGAGTCATGAGTCATAGTAGAACTAGGAGACATAACGCAATATTAGATCTGTGCGACAATATAAAGTGAAATACTAGTATCTTGTGTTTTCATTTACGCTATCATATAGATGCAAAACGTATAGGCGAGGCCTGATATTAGGCCTAAAGGAATATCGGCGGCCTGTGATCTTTGAATGAATAGTAAGCATGCAAAAATGATTGTCTATCGACTATTTCCGCAAGAAGATGATCGATCTGAAGATGGTGTGTCAACGTCTCCTTCAATAGGGCACAGGCGATAATAGAGAGGCACGGAAAGAATAAAACTAAAATGACAACCGTGACTGCGGATTGAGAGAATCAATCTGAAAGGTATTGACGTATTGATCGTTCGGTAGTGCTAAATTAAAAACCAACTTCGAAAAAGTCATGCTCATAGTCGTCTGTTCTCTTCATTATGAAACCGTTGTCTTTCTGATTGTTTGTAAGACATAAATTAGAATTACTCTAGAGGTTTCTGAAACAACTGGAGCTCATAGCTAGAATACTATTATTTATATACATGTATATTTATATATATAGAATACTACTGCTCAGAAATCGACAGAAACATGTAGAACCAGTTCAGTAGCTAATGTAATTAGACACATCGGTTGGAAAACTAACACTTCTAAGTAATGCCGCGGCAGAACATTGAGCTTACATGCTTAAGATTAATAAATAATTATTTAGCTATGTTCATTCTTTCAGAATAGACCACGAAAAACCTCTAAGGACTCAACATTGTTATAGGTCGTAGAAACTATTTAAAACAAGACAGATGTCTGAACATCGCCACTAGGGCTACTCGTTCACCTGACCAACCTGGCTGACTAAGTCCGTTAGTGACCGCTAGCATGTCCCGGGCTCGTTACTTTGAATCTCGCGCATTCACTCGCCTACATACCATGACTAGAACAATCTTTCAACATTTTCCCTACCAATAGCCTCGTCGTACGGTCAGCCAACAACCGAGATCCAAGAAGCTCTTATTGTCCTTAAAAGTAAGGAACAAGGAAACCGATCGAGGATATTCCGCCATATTGGCCGATATACGGTTTTTGGACTTGCGGAATAAGGACAAGGTAGCTAGTAGTGCATGATCGGCGCCCTCTCCTTTACCTTTTCGCGCTGTGAGAACCTAGCGTTGGTCTGTTATAAGCCCCTCTGATAGACGATGTACCCAAAGGGAAGAAGCAGCGAAGTGACCATCGGTCGTGGAAGCCGTACGGCACTCAAACGCTTCAAGTCAGGTCAAAGGACGCCAGCGCAGTGCGCTTGAGTCATTTGTTTGAATAATTTACAAACTAACAATCTCTAACATTTCCTTGTACCTATACATCTAGAGCAGATCACGATTGAGTTGATTATTTAATCGTTGCGAGTAGATGTTTATATATCAAAATCGATCTGTAGTTACTGCAGTTATTGACGATCCGATAGATAAGGGCAAATGTGGGGGAAAAACATTTATTAGAAAGAGCGAATCCGGACGCATATTGTACTGGCAGGCGTAACTATATATGTCTATATATATATATATATATATATATATATATATATAGGGTCGTAGTCGTAATTTTCGTCTGTTTAGCTTAAGTTTCGAATTAACAATAATAGTTAAATCATGGACAATAGGCGTATTGAGCTCACATGATACGGTACAACATACAGTACGCGAAACATGTCTATGTACCACAGAAAATCATCGGCTAGTTTTGTGGGTATACTCTGTATACCCTCTGTATACTCTGTATATACTCTGTATATAAGTTTCGCTAGACATTGCTTATTTATTTAAACAGAAAACGGACGGAACGCGTCTCAAAATTGAATCCTGTTTTGTTGAACAGAGACTGCTAGCAGTAAAAAACATCGCGCCTCCTTGCTTCTTTTTTTTTTCGTATCCCACGGGACACTTTAGGCTAAACTAAAGCCAACGATACTTGATTGAGTCACAAAGAACGGAGCGGGTACGGTCGTATGCTGCCATCAGCGTTAGCCAAATGCAGTTCCAAAACTTTTGAGCGCGTAGAAAGTAGACTGTGAGGAAAGAGAAAAGAACTTGCTGCCCATCAAATGCGCTTGGGTGGCTATCGAATAGACATGGTAAAACAAACAATTTATCTATGTACAGGCTGCAACCACACCTACCACCGGCCCTAAACTCTGACTACTGACGACTGCTGTTACAATGGCGTTCCAACGACTGAATAGGGATAATAGCAATAAACGCAAATGGCTAAGCCTGTTCTGTGTGGCTGTAGCCTAAGGCCTTTCCTCCGGCTGTCGCTGTTGCTGGTGGTTATTTTACTGGCTATGCGTCTAAAAACCATCGAAGTAATCAATCGAAATTTTGGTTCAAATACGAATGCTTATGTCTTCACATAAAATCAAGAAAATCGACTGTATCTTCAGGAAGTGCATACCTCATAATAGCCGTTCGCTCGTTTAGCATATCAGGTCATTTTTGTGTTCAGCTGTTTAAGTGAGGGCCAGGACGTAAGGCTTCTTCTTACCCTAAAGAGCGCCGAGCGTGATGCTATTATAAAAAAAATTTCGCCAAATAAAAATAGGTTCTTGGAAATGCTAAGATTATTTCGGTATTTTATTGAACACTAACAAACACAGCTTTATTTGCCCGAGGCCGTAATATGGTCTGGGTGCCTCTTGATTGTTTCGATTGTGCCACTATCTACATGTTTAAAAAACACCATAAAAATATAGAAGCTATAAATAAACTGGGAGAAAGTTAAAGTTATGTGAGGTTAATGTAATCTGCTTTGGCAATTTTCCGCGTAGGGCATTTACTACATTGCAGACTTATATTGCCGTTATGAATCCGTCTTGCTTTGAGACCCAATTTCGCTATGTTGTTGTAACAATGTTGCTACAGCCATTCCATACAGTGCCCATTTGAGATTGTTTATTATATTAGTAACTTGATTTTATTAAGGCATTTATTCAATTTAGTTGTCGTTTAGTCGTGTATAAAAGCTTCTATTCCCAAAATTAACGAAGGCATATACTGAAATAATTGAGTTTCGGGTTTAGAAATATTCCGTGAACGTATTTTGCCCCGATGCCAATTTGCTCCTACAATTCTCTTCTCAGTAAAACGTAACCATGCTGCATTTGCCCTATTTTTCGAAGAAGCAAATTATTTAAATTTGAAAATTTCACACTCAAATTTGCTCCAGCTCGACGTTTATGCATTTACCCTGAAAGCTGTTTCACGCCAACTGGCCACATACGTTCGAGTACTTCAAAAAATATTTTTTAATTATGTACGTCGCGCCAGCCACTTCAATTTCCGTTAACTTCAATTTGTGAATGATTCATACAAATGCTTATAAAACGTTTAACGTGACGATTCAGTCAACATTATGCAACGGCAGTAATAAGTTTCGCTGGTTCGTTTCCGCATATGTGCCATATGGTATGAATCTAGGTAGATGCTATAATAACATCATTTCCTTCACAACGAATGAATACTCTTGGAGTACTTTCCATTTTAGACAGATTCTCCTGTTGATGATCTTTATCGTAATATATAATAATTTCTCATTCAACACAGAAACCGCACTATGGCTATACTACTAAAAGTTAATGGCCATTTATATATAGGTGCGTGTAATATCCTAAATCTAGCTCAGATTAGTATGTGAGCTTCTGTCTAACCGTATGGATAGCACTAAGCCAACTCTAGCTTTGTTGTCCACCAAGTTCGGTAGCGATCGCGCAGATTGGGCAGTGAGGATAAGCAAAGATAAATGGTCTACAATGTTCAACGCCTTGCAAACGGATTTTGGTAAACAATTATGGAATGAGCAAGACCACATGGGGACATCGAGGGGCGTGGTACCTGATACACTGTTCCCCTTATCTGGTACACACGTTTCTTTAAATCTATAGAGACCGCGGAAGGGAACACGGTTAATAGTAGAAAACCGTGTGACACGCACCTAATTCCAATGTGGCGATTCAAGCGATTCGATGTCAGTCATATTTAGGTTTCAAACTCGTAAAAGCCGGGTTTGGTGCCGCGAATATGCCCTCCCAGGCAGTGAGGCATTAGTGAAGGTCAGTAGGTGGTATATCCATCGTTTTAAGTCCCTAACGGACAAGGATGTCAAGGGAGAAAATAAACGTGCCGTATGGTTGAACCTGAAAACATAAATAAAACACGCAGCTTTGAACCGATTTAGTGGTTGGATTTTCGAGATGGAAATGTAGCCCTAGGCAAACACTGGTTTTTGAGGTCGAATAGCCGGCGGTCAGAGACTGGAAATACTTGAAGATTTCACTACTACCGTTGCCTAGCTACTGCTGCCATTCTGCATCTATCTGTGACGTCCGCCAAGAAGCTTTTGCCGTGGAAGAAAAGATGTAGCCTAAGGTAGGGAAAATTGTTTACGTAGGCGAAAAGCAATTCCGTGATAGAGAGCACGTCGTAGGAAACAATCCGTCTTTCTTTCCTAAACTTCATCGCCATTGTTTTCATCGAATTCACAGTTAGACGGAGCTCCACTGAGATCATAGGGCTAGCTAATGCTTACTAGACTTACAAATGGCTACTTCTATAAATAATTTAGTGGTATACACGATTATCCACAAGGTTTCCGGGCTCGTAGACTTTCCCTAGTAGATCCTTCAAAAACGCTAGAGAGTTGAGGCAAATTTCGTGTATGAGGAGCGATAAGTTCTCTCACGTTACTGTTGATCCTTTTCTGATTTTTATCAGAGATAGCCACTAAGCTTCAGAATTTGTGGAGACCCCGTCCGCTGCCAGGAACCTTAAAAGGACATTCCCTGAAATCAAGTCGGAGGCCGTCTTGAAGTTAACGATTACGACAAGTAGTCGCCGCGCTTCCTTCGCCAGTACATTTTTAATATCAGCCAACAGAGTCCTAAGAGCCGTTATGGTTGATCAATTACGTCGAAGCTTGCGCTGTTCGTCTGAGATGATACCAGCAATTTCCAGAAATCTATTTAGTGATGTCATTACCACGGCCACTAGTGGTTAAC